GCTAAAGGATTACTACAAGTTTATGACCTTTGCACAACTATTTTACAATGATTTCACTAATTACGTATAAAAAACCTGAATAAAAATTTAGGAAAAAATAGTTGAATGTACTTAAATAAAGATGCATTCTGCACTAGTTATGGAAGTTCTAAGGATGGTGTAGCAAAACTGAACAGTGATGGAACAATAAAAATCAGTTTGTTGGTTTAGATGTAGCTGTGTACAGAAAACTAAAAAAATTAGGTGAATTTATTGACTAAGGTCGGTTATTTAAACGCCTAGTTATATTTTGAGAAAAACCTTTAAATTAAGAATATGAACTTATCCATGTATATACACACACTTCTTATTATGAATAGCTATTGTTTTAGTATTCTTATTAAAGGTAGATTATAAGTAAAAATTGATATTTTACAATAACATTAAACCGTAATGGAGTAATATGCAGGTATCCTGGACATTTCTGTCTCTTTCGTTTTGTAAAGTGAACTCTTAAAGTTCGCCTAAAAGTTTTCAAAATGTTCATACATAAAAGTGTATGTAGGATTAAGGTAGAACATTGGTCAAGGAAGTGGTTAACTGTCTTTTGCCTTAGCTACCCATTGTTCTAGGTTATTTCTCTTTGGTATCATGTGCATTTTCTTGTTTGAAAGGTTGTTGTAAAATAGACCACACTATATTAATGTACAGTGATCTTTTCCACTGGAGGGTCAGATGATACTTTATTTTCGATTGGAATGAACAACTATGACATAAGCAGTACACACACCCTGAGAAGAATAGCATTGAAGAACTGTATATGCAATGCTATGTTTTCTCAGTCTGAACAGATTCTTCACGGATTTCAGAAATTCTTTTAGAGAAATCAACGGATTTCTGAAAGCATGCAACCTCCAGTAAAGACTGTCCTCCGTCTACAAGGCCTGGCATGGCCAGGTGGTTAGGGCAATCTGCGGGTTGCGGGTTCGAATCCTCGCCCCAACAAACATGCTCACCCTTTCAGCCGTGGGGGCTTTATAATGTGACGGTCAATCTTACTATTCGTTGGTAAAAGAGTGTTCCAAGAATTGGCAGTGGGTGGTGATGACTAGCTACCTTCTCTCTAGTCTTACACTATTAAATTAAGGACGGCTAGCGCAGATAGCCCTCGTGTAGATTGGCGCGAAATTCAAAACAAACAAACCTTCGTCTACACACTTGTTGTCTTTGATTGTGGTTTGTGTTGAAAAAAGATAGTTTCTCCGTATTTTGAATTGTCCAGTCTCTTTCTTTATTCTAAATTCTGTCAAAATCAAGATAATTCAGTTTAACTCTGCAAAATATTTTCTCTTTGAACATGTTGTTATATTCCGGATTATACCAGATTACTCGAAGGGAAATCTGTGAACTTGAAAATAGCATAGTGATTTTTAGTTTAAAATATGAAACTATAAATAGATATGTCAATAACTGAGCTTATCATTTCTAAAAAATGATTGCAAGGAATGATAGGATTAATGTTTTCAGAATTCTGAGGAACACTTCTCCGAGAAACAGCTTGTTTTCTGGTTCGATTTTCGGCAAGATTTGCATATCATAGGAAAAACCTTTTGAAGTCTAGATGTAATTTTCTTCACAATGCGAATTGTCTTTTTATCTATGTTATATTTTTATTTGTTTGTTCTTGTTGATGATTTATCAATAAATGTATAAAAAATTATAGATAAAGTAATACGAACTCTTCGTGTGGAACATTATAAGACGTAAATGGATATTGTTATAATCAATAAAAGTTTAATGTCGGTTTCCTCATACAATAACAAGATCTTATGGTGACTGATAACTGCCATGAAATAAATGGCTTTTTATATATGTCCCTGTTGGTTCTTTTTATCATATAACAATGTTTGCATTCAGTATCTAAGTGCTTAACGGTTTATACTAAAAATGTTTCATTCCCAACATATTTTCTCATTTTTGTTCTAACATAGTGAAATACATGTTGTTGTTGTTTTCAAAAACTAAACAAGTTAATTTTTTCATCAATATTTTATGCAATCACCTATACATATCGTTTGAGATATAATACTCAACGTTCAGTAGTATTTTCTGTAAACCAATAAAAATTTGTAAATCCAGGTGGCGTTCATAACAGAAAAGCTTATGCTAAACAAGTATACTCCATTACACAATTTTCAGACGAACGTTCTGTAGTAGCAGAAAATTGCAGAGAAGGTTTGTAATCAAAAGTTTGAGGTTATAATTTCGAGGGTAAGTTTTAGTTTCACTGAAAGCGTTAAACAGTGAGTTTTGTTTTTAAATACATTAAGGATATATTTACATTATAACAAGGCCGGTTTTCTAACAGCTAAAATTTGCTTTGTGTTAAAATAGTATTAATAAACACGTTCATTCTACACTATGGCAACCATGTACGTGAGAACCTCGCTCACGTAGCCAGCTTTAGTTTTACTAATACTAATAGTACTATACAAGAAGTACAGTAATATATCAGCATGAATTCCAGTACGAGCTGTTTGGTTAAAATTGAATAACTTAGAGGAAAAAAAGAGGTGGAGAAATTTTGAAATATAATCTATAATTGATTTTTATACTGAAAACATGTTAGCGTTTTATTTCTTGTAATTTCAAAGTGGAAATGGTAACTGGTGGTAAACTTCTGACGTAATATCGCCATTTTTGATTAGGAAATCCTGATTGGCTGGAACGGGGACAAAGACCTGCTATGACACAGTTAATGATATAGCTACAGTATTTACCATTTAGCATTTATGTATGAAATTATACGTATCCGGATACAGAAACTAGTTATGTAATAATTTTGGAACTTTGTTTAACTTCGAAACGTCAAAGTGTAAAAAAAATATCTTTTAATTTCTTGTTTAAAACTTACAAGAGTGGACAAACTAAAGAAAAAATATCACAGTTTCAGTTTTTTTTATATTTCAATTTTCATATATATTGAGATAAAAGGAAAGAAATGAAAAATATTGATATATGATCATAAACTATCATTATATTAAATTCAAGGTGTATATGTATGTTAAGTAATTCTCGACCCGCCATTACTTAATCGTATATTAAGAGTGTGTATTAGGAATAATTACATTTAAAATGAATGTGAAAACAACACCGGAAGTACAAGTCATTATTATTATTCATAGTTCTATTTGTCGTACTTTACCAAGGTGTAATCGTTGCATTCGAAATTATTTAATCCAAATAAATAATACAACAAACTCATTAACACAAATAGATGTTTCAAATAGAAAAGACATCTTTGATAAGTTATTTGGGCAGAGTATTCGTAATGAATCTAAGTTTCAAATGGACAGCAACAGCCTGTTGTAGAAACCCACAAATGTGGAGAACAACGTTTCGAAAGTCTTTCGTCTTCAGGCGGAAGATTTTCGAAACGTCGTTCTCTACATTTGTGGGTTTCTACAACAGGCAGTTTCGTCCATTTGAAACTTAGATTCATTAGAAAAGACATGACGAAAGTATGGATAGTGTAGAAAACTTAATAAAATATGAATAATTGAATTGCATAATAACTGGAAAAAAGTATGAAGAAGAATATATTAAAATTATAGGAAATATTTAATATATGACTAAAGAAATCATCATTAATAAAAGTAATACGCCGTTTAAACGAGAATTATCAAAGCTATTTTTACTATTTCGCTCACGTGATCAGACCATCATCAGGTAGAATGAAAACAGATGAGAAAGCACTTTATTTACTATATTGAAAAAAGAAAAAGGAGAAACGTCTCAAGAGCACGTGGTACAGTCAGTTTTCAATTAACTTTATATTTAAATGAAACAAGGACCACACAAACACGCGGATATATACACAATAAAGTAAAATATTAATCATAAATATAAAACAACATACAAAATGTTAATATATATTTGTATAAATATATACGTGTTTATATACAATGTTTATCCAAGTACAACAAGAGGACTGAAATTGTTGGACCTTCCTTCGTTTTTAAAGGAAAATATCCGTGTTTAATTATTTCCAGTGGCATTTACATTCAGTTCAGTGTAATTACTCGCGAATAAATTAATTCGGTCACATTCCATAAGGTAGGATGGTACAGTTGACAGCATGGTTTGATACATACGATAAAGTGTAATTTTCGTTTTTCATTGAATGGACACAAAGTTATCCTACGGGATGAGACTGAATTAATTTGTTCCCTGTATAATCAAGTAGTCAGACTGAACTCAATGGTAGAGAGTTGCTGGAAATAACAAAGCACAGAGACTTTAAATAAAAACGAAGTTAGGAATTTCAGTTGTACTTGAATTAACATATATATATATGTTATTTTATATTTATGTTGAATATTTTAATAATAATTAAATTAAAAGCAGAATAATTTTCCCAGAAAATATCAGAAATGTAATACTTTTGAAATTATTGTTTTGGGGATGTGGAATATTTGTCGAATAAACGGCATAACTCATTCAACACAGTTTATTGTATCATAAAATATTTTGCAAATAGCTCTAAGTAGGCATATAATAAAGAATGCTTACATAAAAATATGTTTTTTGTTATGTCACTTTGTGGTTTTGAAATTAATATAATATAGTTAAAATGTTTTAAAAGATATGTGGACAGTACTTTCAAAACACACGGTGAAAAATAATTGTATCACATCAGTGACATTAATAACTTATATTTACAGCTAAAATGGAATTTACACCTTTTATTTATTACATTTTTTAGACATTATGGTAAATAAAACAAGACAATGGAAATTTAACTACTACCTAATATAAACCTAAAAAACAGTTGTGCTCATGAGTGTAAACTTTGTACAAACGGGATTGAGACGACCAAAATCCATCCAATCATGGCTCACATTTTGCTTCGAATCACATGATAGAATTATATTTTACCGACCAATCCTACGATGCGTACATAGCTCCAATAGCAAAGTAGCTTACAGTTTTATGTAACCAATTAAAATTTAAGTTTTATTATTCACAATATCTGTTCTTATTTTCGATAAAGTGAGTGAAATAATTGTGAATGCTCAGAAAAATAAAATAAAAAAAATAAAAACTAATTTTGATAATAAAAAGTAAATAGGTCTACGAAAATGTAAGTATAACTATATTATAAGCAAGTAAGGAAGGTGTATATTCTTTATTTTATTTTCTTAGGAAATTGTTGTATTATCTAATCGTTTAATTTCACGTGTAACGTTAAGCTGACATTTAACTTTTATTTTTATTGTACTGTTTTGGTTCAAGTTATGTAGGCCTAACGTAATGTTTTTGAAAGGACCTAACCCTCATTCGAAGTTGTCAAGGAAGATGAATAACCATAATTCGGTGATCAGTGATTATTAACTTTACCTTCTGTGAAAACAAGCAAACATGAGTTTAACTTTTACTTAATGTAATTAAATTAAAAGTCACTCTCTATTAATATTATGCTGGTTGTCAGTGTAGGCTAACTTGAAATTTTTTAACGAAGAGCCCACTTTTTGACTTTAATTTTTAAAAGGCACTCTCTATTAATATTATGCTGGTTGTCGGTATAGGCTAACTTGAAACTGATGGACTTTACTTGAACTACATTTTATCTTGCCTTGACACGGGTGTCACTTAATATCAGATAAATCAATAATTTGATATCAGTCACTGTCATTTTGTTAACATTGTTCCAATGGGAAAGTCGATTTACAGGTATGATTTTTATAATTGTTTTTCATTAATCATTAACTACATAATTGAACTTGCAGTGTAAATCTACTAACTTGTGACTGGAATCCAGTGGTGTGTGAATTTTTTTTATTTTCATTATTTAAAAATCACTGAAACCTCCTACTTATATTCATACTGGTAGTACCGTAAAAATATTCTTTGCATATTTGAGACTTACCATTAAGAAGTATTTGTATGTATATCTTTTTTAGTTATTATTTTTTAATAACATAATTAAATATTAAGTTACAACTGTTTATTTGACAAAACTTACCAAAATATTTTGTTTTTCTAGTGATTTGATTAAGAATGGCACGTACCAAGCAGACTGCTCGAAAATCTACTGGAGGCAAGGCTCCTCGTAAACAACTGGCAACAAAGGCTGCTCGAAAGAGTGCCCCTTCAACAGGTGGAGTTAAAAAACCTCATCGTTACAGGCCTGGAACAGTGGCTTTGAGAGAAATCAGACGTTACCAGAAGTCTACTGAGTTGCTGATAAGAAAATTACCATTTCAGCGCTTAGTGAGAGAAATAGCACAGGATTTCAAGACTGATCTGAGATTTCAGAGTGCAGCTATTGGTGCACTTCAAGTAAGGAACTATTCTTGCAAACTTATAGTAATGTTAAATGTTTACTATTTAAGTTTTAGAATTAAATAATAATATCAGTGTTATACGCAACTTTGTGTCAAGAAAATCAAATAGAATGATACTTGGCTTAAGTCATTTAAGTTGTAAGGAAAGGTTTTCAAGCTGTAAGACTGATATTATGACAAGCTTTTATATAATTACTCCCTTTTTACACATTTTTCAGTAGACATAATTTACAATGAAAAGGAGCTACTTCCTTTGTGCAGAAATAAAAAATCAACCTAGGTGAGGCATAAAAATATTTTTGTTTGCAGTAACACAAAACGATTTAAAATGTGGATAGGTAGGTAGGTAAATTTGTATTTTTTTAAATTGCTTAGCAAAAATATATTCAGAAATACCACTAGTTCCGCGATCACCTTAAACATAATGTGTTAAACCATGGATACAGTTACTATCAACATTTATTCTATGAAGAGAATTACAGAAATTTCAAATTCTTTCACAACTTGTTGGTTGATATTGGCCTTGATTGATAAAGTTGAATTGACTGTTTTACAGTTTGTTCTCCCATTTCATCTCATTCTACAAGTATTTCCCTCCACGTGGATAAGTTTCTCATTGGATTTTGTTTCTGATCCTAATCTTCAAGAACATTTGTGTTTGCCACATTGTTGATGTGTGCTCATCAATAGTAAATTCTCCCCTGCTAGGTCGTGTATTTATTAGTTTAGTGTGAAGGGTCCCGGGGAGAAGATAAGTCATGTTGTCAAACCTTATTGCATTGGCCAATTAGCATTGATCAGTTGTTTGGAAATCAGGTGATGCCCTTCCACATTGTTGCAAACTATATGAATTTCTGTGAAAAAAATATTCTAACCATAATACGGCGATAAAAAAATTTTAGTTGGCAAATTTTGTTAGATGTGTCATTATATAAGCAAAAATTGGTAAAAATAAAAAATTTTCCACGTCATAATGTCAAAAGTATCTTTCAGATGGTCGGTCGTGTAACAGCAAACAGAAATATTTTTAAGCCTGGCCCTACTAATGAGTATAGTTTGTTAAGTATGCTTTTCTTGCATTCTTATTTATAAAGATTAGAATGCATTGTTTCATAGGTTGGGGTACTCTTGCTATTAACAGTATTTCTGGCTGTAATCCCAATAATATCTCGCAAGGTTTAACCAGTTTAAGAAATTTAGATTAGCCTGAAATAGTATATTGAGCTAACAACCTCTATAATAAGAGTAAATAAAATACAAAAGTTATAAAATTGGATATATTAAACATTCTAACCAATACTGTTAGTGAAAGTAACAAAGAAATAATAAAAGATACTTTACTTAGGGAACACAAACACTAGCTGTTGGCTTAAAGTAGCACTGATCCTTAAAGAGCACTCCCCAGTATTTCCAAAATAACAATTTTCAAATTTAGCCTAATTTGAAAGTTTAACCTCTTTTCTACATAAATAACATTCTTGTTTTAAGATCTTTGCTAATTAACCTGTAGTAAATAATTACAATTAAAAGTCTAGTTTGTTTTTATTCTGTGCCCATGGAAACAGCCCTAAAATCAAAGACATTAAAAATAAAAAGCTTTCAGATGGGAAAACCATTGGAGGGAAGGGGTTGCTAACCGATAAAGCTATAGATTCCTTCCAATTTTGGTATGGAAAAGCTATAAGAAGTAACAAAGGAGATATATATATGGGATGAAAGATGGTATTTGGGCAATATACTATCACAAGATCTCTTCTGACTAATCCACAGCACTAACTTTGTCCAAAGGGAGTCGACAGTTGGTGCAATTATCGTAAAGCAGAAGCAAAGTGGGAACTTGAGGACTTCCATCATAAGCACACCATAGCATCAACTGTAATGATCAGCATCAAACCAGTATTTGACAAACTCAATAAGCCAACTTTGCTTCATAAGTGCTTGGAGTGCATTATCCAAAACCCTAATGAGTCATTGAATCACATTATCTGAAGAAGATGCCCCAAGTCTTCATTTGCTGGCAACAGAACCCTTTGTTGGGCCGTTGCTGATGCTGTGTGTACCTTCAGTGAAGGTACTTCATCCAAAATAAGTCCTTCAAGCAATGAAAATGACTGCAGGATCATACACAAGGAAATGCCTGTAGAAAATTGACTTAGAATGGGTGAAAGGAGTAGAAAGGGTTTCCTTTGAGAAAGGGAAGCAGGAACACAGTTTTGCAGAAATGTCAAGAGGAAGCTGCTATCAAAAAAGATGTTTATATTTCAGAGGAATATTAAATGAGAAAATGAAGTTAGTATGGCTCCTGATGTACAATGGGATTGAGATATTTTGAATGTGTTAAATGCACACATTTACTGAAAGCTTCCTGACATTCAAGTGTAGAAAAACCTGTAATGGCTATTTTCTCAAAACAGTTTTTGCTGGTTTCACCAATTTACTAGCATGATAACTTAACCGTTAAAGCTAACATCAACATGAATTTTATCACACTTGTTTATATTATACTCTTCCATAGCTTGAATTTTCTTAAATTCAAAAATTTTTACCAACTGTCTTGTTATGAGTCTTAATTATCACTAATGATGGCATTAATTAAAATAATTTGTTTATAGCTTGTTAACGTTGCAGAAAATTTGCAAAGTTTTTAACTAAGTTATGAGTATGTTCACAAAGAGCATGTGTATCAATTTTCATGTTTTTATCATTCCTAAGTAAAATTATGGTTTAAAACAGTTTATGTATCTCTGCCACACAAATTATGCATATAACATATATGACTGAAAGTGTACTTTCAGAGATTGTGACATTACACTTGTGGTCAACTTTGAAGGTTATAAGAAGCATTTAACAGTTTCCTCAGCATATAAATTTCCCAGTTTTAAGGATCAGTGTCACCTTAAAGCACTGTTGTAGATTTAATTTTCTTTGAAAAATATAACATCAGTATAATTTTATTAAGCTGAACTTTCTCTATCAATGTCTTGTGATCACTGAAAACCCACTAAACAGCTGTGTCAATTTAATGGAATGGACTGTAGAAGAATTTTAAATTTACATGCTCATAAAATTGAAGAAATGCTACTTCATCAATGGCAGCAACCAATTTGCAACCAGATATAAATCAAATAATAAAATATTGTCAAAAGAATAAATTAAAATAAATGTTACAAAAATAAACAAAGACAAAAATTTGTATACAAAAAACAGAATTATACCTAAATTGAACTCTTTTTAAATACTGTCACAAAAGCAAAATTTCTCGGTCTAACATATGATTCGATATTAACTTGGTAACTATATATAAACCAAATTACAAATAAAGTATTGCAATGAGCAAACTATGCAAGGAGGCTGTTGTGTGAAAATAATGGTACATCGCTTGAAAATATAATTAAAATTTATAAACAGTGTGTGTGTGTATATATATATGTTGCACTAACAAATCTGTCAGAGCTACAAAGAATACAAAATTCCCATATCAACAGATTCTCAATTCATGCATAACTATGCAAATATACAACCAATTCTAGAATGCTCCTACAAGTACTTTGATAAAAATCTATATAAGAATGATTTATTAACATATATAGATCGCTATATATCATACATGATAATGATAGTACTAAGTATCTCTTACCAGACAATATGTATCATAAGAAAATCCATGTGCACTAGACAATAAACCACAACTTTATTAAATTATCATAGTGTGTTAAAAAGGGTATTATATGTGTTGGTAAAATAATTAGGTGAAAAAAGTGACTCATTGTGCATGGAACTGTTTGCAAGTTTTATTTAAAATGACCAAATGATGAAAAGTTTCATCTAACACTAAATGCTATAGTGTAATATAAATGGACACGGCCCTGAGAAGAGGAAGAAAGAATTGGCGTACATTTCATGACAGCTCCTTATAAAAGTTTTTAAGTGAAAAAGAGCTTGGACAGCAAATTTTATTTTTTGTAAATATAGCCTATTTGTTAAGTCAACTTATCTTTTTCTTAACATAAGTCTAAATGTTGCATTGTAATTGATTGAATATAATTGTAGAATTTTCAGACTTTCTTGTGGGTGATAGTAAAGAAGTATTAAAATTAGACACAATAAGTACATTAGTATGTCCGTCTTTGATGAAAAATAACGCAAACTGTCAAGTTTTTCTTCAAGCAACCAAAATTATATATGTATATATTTTTACTAAACAGTAAGCATATTCATTTGTAGTTATGTTTTGACTACTAATTGAATGAAAAAAATATGGGGTTTTGAAATTGAACCTCTGTGAGTGAATGCTATTATTTGTATTAAACTAGAAATTTCAGATTTTCTATACTTTGGGTTTTATTCATCTTCTAAGAAAGTCTTTGTATTGTTGTTACCCTTCTTTTTAAATATAATTCTATTCCATGTAATCCGAACTCACTGTAACATTTAAAATATTTATTTTCATTGACGTAACTTGAGTAAGTCTGCAAGCTTTTTAAAATTTTGTTTCAGGAAGCAAGTGAAGCGTACCTTGTAGGTCTCTTTGAGGATACAAACCTGTGTGCTAT